GTATTTACACAATAAGCACACTATAACAAATGATTAATTTCAGTGACGTATATACAAGAGCATTTTAATTAAGGCCACTTAGTTTAAAGTGGGAGCATCATGTGATTCGTAAAGAAGTCGCGTCTTGCACCATTTGAATTGAACAAACTTTCAAAGTGGAGTCATCTCAGAATACCCTGTGATGTCCACTTTGCAGGGCACTTACGCTCAAATGGAACAAGAACATGGGGGAGCGAGGACCAGGATTGAGCCCCACTGCTTTAGCTAGCTGGCCATGTCCTGATGGGTTAACTCTGAAGCCTTGCTCTGTGATCTGCTGAGATGAGCACAAGTTCTATCCAAACCAACACGCAGCTTGCTTTCTGATGTTTTCCTTTGGACTTCCTCATTCCCAGAGGGCCATAGGTCAGATTGGAGGACATAATCTGTAGGACACACACATCTGCCAAGAGCTGGTGCCAGAGGAGATGTTGTTTGGGGGACAGAAAAAGAGGGACAAATATGGTCCAATATCGGGTGGAGGCGGGGGGACAGGAAAAATCCCCCTGAAGCACAGGATGCACATGGACAGAGCATGACAGCTGGCATACAGCAGGATATGGAGAGAGGACGAAAGGAAGAGAGGATTGCGGGACGCGGCTGAAGTTAGATTAAATCATTCCTGTTTTTCAGAGCTGTTTTTCTGCAGCGCTCCGTCCAGGAAGCCGAATGCTGTCGTCAGAAATGTGCACTTTACATGGGCAGACCGCTAGATAGCAAAGCACTGCCAAATCAAACACATCAGTCACTTCAGTCAAACTAGATTTAGTGCAGAGAATGTGGATCGGTTTGAAGCTCAACGCTACGGTGGGATTACCATGGGGTCGTGTTGCAGTTGTTAATAAAGGGGTTCAGAGTGATTTGGAGCACGTTGATATCTGGTAGCAAGTGCACTGTGTAGACAGGAACATCTGAAGGGTTTTGAACACTGAAGTCTGACATTCTCATACGTGTGTTTTGTGTCTGGATAAAAAGGTCGCACGCAGAAAACTATGGAATCAGATTAGTCCCAAAAGAAATTCACGCAAAAGACACGATGTACACATGCGTGGCAGGCACTTTTTTCCAGGGGTTTCAGTGCAGCGCAACTACGTCATTGGGTGGGCGTGGCCTATCTGTGAATTTGCATAGGTCACGGATCATGCGCAGATTGTGAAAACTGCCATTTGATTCAGATACCTGAACGTAATCGCAGGGGTTTCGTGTCCAATGCCTTTTATATGCAGTACAAAATAGCTGTCCTGATCGCAGGCGTTTCATGTGAGGTCAGTGTATGTTATATTAAACAAATTAACTTAAGATACCTCTCAGATTACATTAATACTGTTATAACTTAAGATACCTATCCCGATCCCAGGGCTTTTGTGTCAAATACTTTATATATCATATACATTAACATCAGATACCGGTCCTGATCCCTGGGGTTTCATGTATGATCACTTTTATATTAGTTAACATCTGATACCTGTCCTGATCTCAGTTGTTTTGTGTATGATGACTTTAAATAAAAATAGAAAATAAATATGAGTTATGTTAATTAAGTAAGATCGAGAAAGAAAAATTAACCCCAGTTTATAACAGAAAATGTGATATTTATTTGTTTAAACATGACTGAATACCATATTTTAAACTACAAAAACACGGTTAATCTTACCACAACCATTATTATTTGATTTAAAATGGAAGTATAAAAGCCCAGAGACAGTAAAACGGAGTAAAACGAGGTCAGCTGTTTTTGCTAATGAAATCTTGAAATAGTATAACATTATAAACACAAAAAAATAACCTGGATGATTGTTTTTTCCTTCGTTATCCACCGCGGTAGGTTCTTTATCCATAATCATCCTGTTTGAAATGACCGCGCTAAAAAAGAACCTGTACTGCGCATGATCAGTGACCTCTCAGTGTTGTTTTTTTTTTTAAGGGGGCGTTTCCCAAACACCGACCGAGCCACGCCCATTTTACATCATGGTAATGAAACCCCTGGAATTTAGTGCATGCCACACATGTGTAGCCAAATTCACGTGCATAAAACCAAATTCACGTGCGTAAAATATTTATTTATAATAACAAAAAATGTTCACGTGCACAAAATAAAAACTCATTTTCATAAAATACGTTTCACAAATGCAAAACACCATTTGAAAATGTATAAGAGTGTACAAAAGGTTTTGAATGTTTTAAACTTCATCCTGAATGAGAATGTGCTAATCCTCTTACACATCTTCCCCCTGGATACGTGTGTGTGTATTTTTGAGACTTTTTCTGCTAGAGGCAGGGCAACTCATACCTTTCAGCCAATCAGATGAGAGCTGTAGTCGATGACACCCACTCTGCGCTTTATTTGCGCAGACTGTTCCTCTCCAGCAGAACGTAGAAAACGAAGAAAGCAGCAGTCGCACTTATTTTTTAAAATTTATTTAATTATTTGACCATAGCCTCACTCTTTTTATCCATTATTTTGCTGCAGCTCCGCTCTTCTTATTTAATGACTTGCAGTCCCATGAGCAAAATGTAGCCTGCAGGGTCATGATGAGAATTAACTATCTTTCCGGCAACGCAAGCATAACAGTGCCATTGTGGTCCAGCGGTCGGCACGTTGCGTTACCATGCCGTCAATCCGTGTTCGATCCTCACCTGAGTACATTTTTTTTCATTTTTATTGTTAAGACATATAAAACTGTAAGGGTTGTTGAACATTTGAAGTTCTAAAGCAGCTGTTTTCTTTAAAAAGACCTGATAGTGTCATTAGAAACTGAATTGGAAATGATCTTATTTAAATATAGTCAGTCGTGAAATGAGGTGGGCCGGTCGAAGGCTTGAAACTCCAGGGCTGAAAAGGAGTCCCACTCCGGCTCTGATTATATCTAAAGAACCTAAACAGGCTGCTGTTGTGCTTTTGTTGGCTAATATGTAGAATATACCCTATCATTCCGTAATAATTATATAAATATTCATTTTAAATGATGCTTATGAGTTTATTTTTGTTTATTAAACAAGAAACTCAAAAATTGACAATGAAAATATGACAAGTGTTTATTTGCTTATCATGAGCTGTAGTAAATTTATTTATCTCCTTTTCCCAGAAGGTGAAAATCGGGCATAAATCGGGTTAAAACCCATGTAGTCTGAGCTGTAATCTTTATTTGACTGGATTTGATTGATTGTTGGAGGGCAGACTGAAATCCTGAATGGCATCAAACATGTTTGAAATGATCCGAGAGGCTCGATTTGTGTTAAAAATATCCCGAAAAGTATTAATGTTATATGTATATTCTACATATTATATTACTAAAGCACAACAGCAGCCTTTTTACCTTCATTATAACTTTTCTTGAAACTCTTCACATTGTCATTACTGGTTATTGTGTGTAGAATGTTGAGGAAATCAATGAATTTAACCCATTTTGGTATAAGGCTGTAACATAAACAAATGTGGAACACAGTCAAATTGTGGTGACATAAACACAATGGGCCCTATCATACACCCGGCTCAATGTGGCGCAAGGCGCGGGGCAATACTTGTTTGGTAGTTTCAGCTTGGCGCAAGAGTCATTTTGAGGCGTTGCGCTACGCTGTTTAAATAGCAAATGCATTAGCGCTCATATGTGCGCTCATAGGCGTTCTGATCTAAAAAGGAAGGTGTTCTGAGGTGGACCGCTGGTGCGTTGCTATTTTGAGAAACTATAATAGATTTTTCATTAGACCAAAACTAACCCGGTCTAAACTCCAGCGCAGAGTTGCACCTCGCTTACACACTGCTAAATACACACAACAGAGCAATAGGCAAATATCTTTACATATGAAAAAATGTAAATATTAAGGAAATATATAGGATATAATAAGAATAGATATAGAATATAAATATAAAGGATTAAAATATTACAAAACATATTATTTTCTAGCCGACATAAATATGAAAAATCCCTGCTTTTATGTCTTCTTCATCTCGGGAGGCTTTTTCAGTTCATTCATAACAATTTGCTTTTGTATAATGTTATTATTATTAGCAGTATTATTTATTATATCCATATTTATATTTGTTTTATTAAAAACAAGCTTAGATTTGCCCACCTGTCAGGTTTAAGACCATATGGGGCACAGCATGTGTTTTAGGATATAACTCAGGTTTTTGAGCACACTTCGTTATTATTGTTCATTTATTCGTTTGCTGGAAATTAAAACTGAATTTAGAAATAGTTTTGAAACGAATATTTGCGCTTAATAAACACAATTAATTATTTATAGGCTAATTGATGTCTGTGCGTAAAGGTTTCCCTATCCAAGAGCGAAAGTGAAAGTAGATCCATTATCTCTCATTCTCACGCAGTAGATGCTCTGTTTAACAGTTTTCTGTTAATAAACTGTTTGCTAGTGAAATGCTCAGTTTTTCCATTTAGACTTACTTTGCGTCCTGTAAATAGCGAATGCGCTCTTGGCGTGACGCAGCTGGCTCTTAAAGGGAATGGGAGATGAGACTCAGATTGGTTTATTCTCCAAACACACCTATAACTCATTAAGAAAATAAACTCAACCCTTTTAGACCAGGCGCCATGGCGCAAAGCAGATTTTCCCGTCCAAAAATTAGCAAAAATGCGTTCTGACACGCCCTGAAAGTTTTTGCGCCCTGCGTTTTGCGCTCTGCGCATGGACCGTCAAAATAGAGCCCTGTAAGTCTCTTTTTTAAATTTTCTGATGTTAAAAAAAAAGATCCCACCACAAAATAGTGCAGGTCCATGTCTTGTAAATCAGCCGTGCATGTTTTGATCACCCGCCTCTTCAAGTGTCTTTTATTTTCCTGGAAAATGACACTAGATATAATAATTGACCTTGATCTCACACTTAGACAAGCCATTGTTCATACCTTTATCTCTTCAAAAAAAAATGTGCTTTTCATTTATTCAAATCACGCCTGGAGGAACTTCGTGACTCAACAGATTTGACACGAACGGGCTCCTAAATATGTCTAACATATTTATAAATCCAAAGTAAAGTCATTACCAAGCAGTTTATGTGAGATCTGACCACTGTTGTGCTGCAGATGTTCAGGCCGACCGGGGAAAGACGCAGTAGGACTTCTCAAAACAAGAGAGTCTGATGGTTGAAGGCATGTAACATGACAACATTTCGCTTTTTTAAATATAAAAATGTGTTATATTTAATGTACAAAAATATTCACAATCCATAACACATCAGAACGCGCGCCTAAAACTGCACATCTAAACAGAAAGCGTCCTCCATCTATTTTAAAACAGTCTACAGTTGAATAGGAACTATCGTGACACACAGCATGCAAATGGACTTACTAGGAAACAGCATCACTCTTCTAGTGTATGATCAGGGGTGGTCGAGGTTGTGGAGAATGAAAGTGCTTTGCTGTGATTATTGCTGAAGTGTGTTGTGTTTCAGAGGCTCTCGGCGGCTCACAATCCTCAGCTTTGTTTCCAGGGGGCCCGAGGCCTGATAAGAAACCTGGATGCTGTTACAGGAAGCTGGATGCTCCTCTGGCGACAGGCTTTTCCTGCTGAAAGATCCCCCCCGCTTTTCATTTTCTGTTCGACTGGCTGCCTGCAAGGTGAAAACAAGGTGTGGGATATTATAAACTTTAGTCATGCCCTGTTACAATTCTTGATTCTGATTGGCTGAAAGGTGTTATGGGCAACATGGTTATCACAACAGTGATGTGTTGTACAGGGTGGGCCATGTATGTGGATACACCTTAATGAAATGGGAACGATTGGTGATATTGACGTCCTGTTTTTGGCACATTAGTACATGTAAGAGGGCACATTCTTTAAGATATGTGGTGACCATGGTGGCCATTTTGAAGTCGGCCATCTTGGATCCAACTTTTGTTTTTTCAATAGGAAGAGGGTCATGTGACCCATCAAACTTATTGGGAATTTCACAAGAAAAACAATGGTGTGCTTGGTTTTAACGCAACTTTATTCTTTCATGAGTTATTTACAAGTTTCTGACCACTTATAAAATGTGTTCAATGTGCTGCCCATTGTGTTGGATTGTCAATGCAACCCTGTACTCCCACTCTTCACACACTGATGGCAACACCGCAGGAGAAATGCCAGCACAGGCTTCCAGCATCCTTAGGCCCCGTTTACACTAGTGCATATTAGTTTTAAAACGGCGTTTTAGAATGAAAACGATCCGCGTCCACACTCGCGTTTTACCCAGCGTTTCTGAACTGCTCTCCGTCCACACCAAAACGCTGAAAACGCACATCACGTGACCACACACACACACTTTGGCAATCGCTGGAGCCCATCTACCCAGATGAGAGCTCTGCTAGTCGGACTTCTCATCAAGCATCTCCCGCTGGATCTAATCTCACTATATTTATTAAACGTGATATTTCATTCATCTTGTTGTCTTTATCTAACGACATATTCCCTGACTTTGGTCATAGGAATCTATTACTTGTTCTCAGGTAACGTGTTTTGGCTGAGCACTACTTGGAAAGATAAGTTAATGATTAATAAGCACGTAGCCTACATTCTGTATATTGACTGATCGCTTGCCTTTATTTCCTATAATGTATAAACTTATTGTATGTTATACTTTTATAATGGCCATTATCGATTATTAAAACTGATATTCAGCAAAGAGAGGGTGTTTCGTATTTTCACTGAAATTGAAAGGAGGCAGTTGTTATCGGCTCCGTTTTGTTATAAATATCCACACAGTGAAGATGACGCTCATGCAGCACGACGCCTCAACATTTCTGCTGTCTGTTTAGTTGTTAATATTAAAATAAAAATAGGCAGTTCCTTATATCAAGTTTACATTTTATTGTTGAGAAAGTGAAACAACGTAGCCAAGGTGATGTGAATGAAGTTATAAAGTACACTGTTCCCTGTGAAGATTGACGCGTGTCCTCGGTATGTTTTCCATATCAAACTGAGAAGAAGAGATGCAGCCTTGATCAAACTTGCGAAGTCTGAACTTACACGGAGAAGATTCAGGACTGAACTGTGTGTGTTAGGCTACTTAATATTGAGGAAAAGCCCCAATCAGAGAGGCGAATGTCTGCAGCCCCGCCTCCGTTTTCAGAAGTCTCCGTCTTTCCCCATCCACACTGAGACGGAGCTGCAGCGTTTTAGAATGAAAACGGCCTCTCCAGCGTTTTCGAAACGCTCCGTTTTCGGTGCTCGAGAACTCCGGCGTAGTGTGGACGGATGGCGTAACCGTAGCAAAACTTATGCGTTTTCAAACTAAAACGCATTAGTGTAAACGGGGCCTTAGTTTCAGGTGCTGCACATGAGGTGCTGTTTCAGGTGTGTCAAATGACCTTCTTCCTATTGAAAATACTTGTTTGGTAGTTTCAGCTTGGCGCAAGAGTCATTTTGAGGCGTTGCGCTACGCTGTTTAAATAGCAAATGCATTAGCGCTCATTTGTGCGCTCATAGGCGTTCTGGTCTAAAAAGGAAGGCGTTCTGAGGCGGACCGCTGGTGCGTTGCTATTTTGAGAAACTATAATAGATTTTTCATTAGACCAAAACAAACCCGGTCTAAACTCCAGCGCAGAGTTGCGCCTCGCTTACACACTGCTTAATACACACAACAGAGCAATAGGCAAATATCTTTACATATGAAAAAAATGTAAATATTAAGGAAATATATAGGATATAATAAGAATAGATATAGAATATAAATATAAAGGATTAAAATATTACAAAACATATTATTTTCTAGCCGACATAAATATGAAAAATCACTGCTTTTATGTCTTCTTCATCTCGGGAGGCTTTTTCAGTTCATTCATAACAATTTGCTTTTGTATAATGTTATTATTATTAGCAGTATTATTTATTATATCCATATTTATATTTGTTTTATTAAAAACAAGCTTACATTTGTCCATCTGTCAGGTTTTAGACCATATGGGGCACAGCATGTGTTTTAGGATATAACTCAGGTTTTTGAGCACACTTGGTTAATATTGTTCATTTATTCATTTGTTGGAAATTAAAACTGAATTTAGAAATAGTTTTGAAATGAATATTTGCGCTTAACAAACAAAATTAATTATTTATAGGCTAATTGATGTGCGTAAAGGTTTCCCTATCCAAGAGCGAAAGTGAAAGTAGATCCATTATCTCTCATTCTCACGCAGTAGATGCTCTGTTTAACAGTTTGCTTGTGAAATGCTCAGTTTTTCCACTTAGACTTACTTTACGTCCTGTAAATAGCGAATGCGCTCTTGGCGCGACACAGCTGGCTCTTAAAGGGAATGGGAGATGAGACTCTAATTGGTTTATTCTCAAAACACACCTATAACTCATTAAGAAAATAAACTCAACCCTTTTAGACCATGCGCCATGGCGCAAAGCGGATTTTCCCGTCCGTAAATTAGCAAAAATGCGTTCTGACACGCCCTGAAAGCGTTTGCGCTCTGCGTTTTGTGCTCTGCACATGGACCGTCAATATAGAGCCCTATAAATGAGGACTTCTCCCTTCATCCCCGGGTCTGAATGCAGACTCAGTGCATCAGGTCTCTTGCCCTGTCTATTTTAACCATTAGCCCTCTGTTGGTAATCTGGAAGATTTAGGTGAACACAACAGCATGCCGATGTGTCTAAATGTGAACGAACTCCTGATAAAAGACAGCGTCCGCCGTTCTCCAATTCTCATACTGCTCTTCTGACAAAAACGCTTGCTGGACGCAACATTCTCAAGCGAAAATGACGTCGGCTGAAACTTTCTGCCATACACCACGCCCACCAAAAGGGTATCCTTGGTAGTGGAAATGCAAGCCTCTTAAAGGTGACCCGTACCGACCCGAACCGTACCGTACTGTACCAGATAACTCCCCAGGAAATGAGTTATGACTTAAATATGTTTACTATCTGACCTGCAGCTTCTGTGTATTTTTAGCTCAATACTCCTCTCTCTCAGTGGTCTTAACTGATTAGATTGTGGTCGGAACAGACACACTGATGGATGCATTTTCCTCTGTGTAATGTTTCGATCGGTAAGCTAGCAATATGAGGCACTTAACAGGAAGTACACATGATGTGGCGCTCGACCATGTGTGCATTACAGTGGATAATTGATTTTACGGTAATGCTGAAGTGCAGCGGGCAGGAAGGAGTCGCCGATAAACAATATGAAGCAGTCTGATTCCATCTCATTTCTCAGACAGGCAAGTCTGAAAGACAGAGCTCCCAGTGGGGTGGATATAAAGCGTTTTATATGATGCCTGATCAAAAATGCATGTATTAGAGGCAGCTGGAGAACACATCAGAAGTTAAATGAGATGTAGAGGGAAAGAAGAGAAACAAAGAACAACTAAAGGGGAAACAATAGTGACGGTCACTGAATACAGTAGAAATGTGCAATAACTATTCAGGCTATCTGATTATTTCTTATCATTACTACTTTATTAATATTTAATCTTATCTTTATTTATTCTTGATCTTAGTTTGACGTTATTACTCTTTTATTTTTATGATTTTTCTATAGTATTTTGACTGGGCATAGGGCGATCAGAGGGATGTTGGGGTGTAAAATGTTTGCCGTTCTAACATACCGTGTGACTTGAAGTAATATGCAAACAGAAAAACTAATGCTGTAAAAAAGTGCATTACCAGGAAATGATACTGTAATGTAATCAATACGCTGGTTTTACGTAGCTAAAATGATCCCCTGCAGAGTAATGACTCAAAACTGTGGCAACCACAGATCTCTAGCACTGTAACTGCCTACTAACACTATTAATCACTCTGAGTGGCCTAATAAGCAACTAACAGCACACCAAACATCCTAGATACACCCAGAACATTCTATTAATCACCTTGACTTCCCTAGCAACCACCTAACAACAAGCTGAACATCCTAGATACACCCAGAACACTCCATTAATCACCTTGACTTCCCTAGCAACCACCTAACAACAAGCTGAACATCCTAGATACACCCAGAACACTCCATTAATCACCTTGACTTCCCTAGCAACCACCTAACAACAAACTAAACATCCTAGATACACCCAGAACACTCCATTAATCACCTTGACTTCCCTAGCAACCACCTAACAACAAACTGAACATCCTAGATACACCCGGAACACTCCATTAATCACCTTGACTTCCCTAGCAACCACCTATCAACAAACTGAACATCCTAGATACACCCGGAACACTCCATTAATCACCTTGACTTCCCTAGCAACCACCTAACAACAAGCTGAACATCCTAGATACACCCAGAACACTCCATTAATCACCTTGACTTCCCTAGCAACCACCTAACAACAAGCTGAACATCCTAGATACAGCCAGAACACTCCATTAATCACCTTGACTTCCCTAGCAACCATCTAACAACAAGCTGAACATCCTAGATACACCCAGAACACTCCATTAATCACCTTGACTTCCCTAGCAACCACCTAACAACAAACTGAACATCCTAGATACACCCGGAACACTCCATTAATCACCTTGACTTCCCTAGCAACCACCTAACAACAAACTAAACATCCTAGATACACCCAGAACATTACATTAATCACATTGACTTCCCTAGCAACCACCTAACAACAAACCAAA